TGTTTCCTGACAGTTGTGGCGGTCAGTCTTAATTTGTTTAGCTAGAAGCATTTGCGGGAAAAACTGATGCCGGTAGCGACAATAACTGCGGGGGACTATGCAAAAAACGCATTTTCGCATGGGCAGCCCGCGCGTTGGCCAAATATCATATCATTGGCGACGCGCACAGGACGAACCAGTGAAATCATGCTTTTTTTTGAAGTATTTCGTTCTGTAATGAGATCACTCGGAAACCCATTAGCTAAAATACGTGACATACTAGTCCTCGAAGATCGGGAATCGTCTCCGTGTATATTGGACAGACAACATTCCGTTAAAAATTTCAGCTTTACAACTTTTGTGGTTTTTGAGTAAGCAATTTTCCTGCCAAAAATTTCGTGAGTCCGTACGTAAGAACCACACGCATGAGGGACCTGAATTTGATGTGTTTAACTTTTACGTGGGAACATAACTTTAAAATTTTAGCCCCAGTTTTTCTGGTTCTTGAATTGGCCATCTTCCCGCCAAAAATTTTCAGTGGGCCATACATGAGAACAGCGAATGCTTGAGGACTGGATCTGATAACTTTAAGTTGCACAACGGCTGGGAATATCCCTTGAAATTTCAGCCTCCCAAATTTCCTGGTCCCCAAGTCGGCGGTTTTCGTGTCAGGAACCCTCATGGCGCTTTACGCGGGAAGCAAGCACATCTGAGAGCTGAATTTGAAATCTTCGAGTTTCAGGTGGACGGGAAACATAACCTCAAAACTTCATCTTTCTAGCTTTTCTAGTCCCCAAGTTAGCGATTTTCCCGCCAAAACTTTCATCCTCTTACGCGAGGCCCAGACTTGTGTGAGGACTGGTACCGCAGGCCTGGGCTGGCACTTGGCCAGAAAACCCATTAGCAAAATTTTGACGCCGGAGCTTGCTTGATTGCCGAGTTGAAATACCCTGATAGACGCACACATACATCGGGGTCATCACAACATGCGTTTTTGCTGTGCGCTATGGCGAGCGCTGCACAGCAAAAACGCATTATTGTCGAGAGGTCAGCAAAAAAGCAAATTGTCGGGAGGCTCTGTGTGTGTGTGTTCAGAAGCGAGTGTATTTTATCACACACTTTTATCTCAGCAACCTGAGCTGGGAGGCTGAAGCTTTGAGTGTATGTTCCTACCCCGTGTGTCACTCTCCCGTTTCAAGATATTCCCTCGTACACGTCTAGACCCCGCGTGCGGGCCTCTCAAAGAATATGAAAGAAATTTTGACGAAAAACGGTTTCGCAAACTAGGCAGGCCAGAAAACTGAAACTTTGCAAGGACAATCTCTATGCACATGCGAGCTAAAGATTTTAAACTCATCTTTCGAGCACGCTTGTGAAGCGCGTACGATCACACCAAATTCTGCAAATTGGTGCTGTGCTAACTCGAAAACTTGTCAGAAAACAGTGGCTGAAATTTTGTCAGCATTTTTGTCGTCCACACAGAAAATCGTATACCCAAAATGAGC